TCCCAATGCTATAACATATGACCTTTCAGATGCAAGTGGAGGAGAGAGGCAGAGCAGAGAGCGAAGTGTTTAGCGAGGAGATGAGCTTTCCCTCCGTGCTGTGAGCGACGCTGCGGTCCTGGCCGAGGTGGAAAGGTCACCCCATCATTTGGGAGCCTGGAGGGAGAGGAGTCAAACCGTACGAAGCCACCACCAGTCCGCCGCGGGCACTCAGACTGAGGGAACGCACACATGAATTACACACACACATTACACACCACATCCCCACTCATTATGATACCTGGATATATTAGCCAGCCCTGCAGCAGGTCGGCCAAAGAGCAAGTCTGCAATTTCTCACTTCTCTTCATCCTGCAGATTGGAGCACAAAGAGTTAAACAACACTTTCCCTGGAGCTCTGCTGCTCAGTGAAGGGAAGAGAAGACAAAGTGTAAACAGAGTCTAAAGACCAAGTCATGTTCAAGGGTGACACAATGCACCTCCCCTGAACATCTTCACTAAATGTGTTTACTCTATCCTACTCTTGGCTAAGGCTGATAGCATGTGTAATCAGCTAATGAATATTTCATAATCACGCATGTATATAGCATGCGGCTGTAATCAGCTCATTGCACTGCAAAGCACATGCATTACAGTTGATTTGACCGCACAAGTGACATATCATGCAAAGCGGTTACAGCGTGTCGTAATAGCTTTGGTATTGGAACAAACATGGGCCCCTGAGCGTGAAGCAATACTAGACTGACTCACCTTTGTGTCAGTGAGCTGTGGTCGGGAAAGTCAGAGTTATTATATCCTGTAAAAAAAAATGCAACGCTGTCATATGCTTTAGTAAACAGGGCAGGCTTGAAAGCACCATTGCTGCTGTAGTGAGGAGGAACACGTGGCCTCGGGGTATTTTGTGTTTGTGTGCATGAGTTGTTTTCCTCTGGAGTCGTGTCCTTCACTGTTTTCTGCATTCACCTGGATATTCTCTGCATTATATAGCGCGTCAGCAAGAAATCACAGAGGCAGAGAAGGCTTAAAGCAAATGCATATTCATTTTCTCCCCACATATATACAAACTACTCCTCCCCAGACGCACACAGATTGAGCTACTCTCCAGTCCATCTCAAACACACACACACACACTCTTATTCCAAAGACAACCCATGGGCAATTCCCCCCAAACTCAGCCTTTTTCCATTCCCATTTTCCTTTAAATGCCCAAATGCACCATCTCCCTTTCACTCAGAATCTTCAATTTTTGACTTCCTCTGCCCTGCCTTCTTTGTCATGAAACACCCCCCCTCTCCATCTCCAAACCACCTCAGTGGGTGCCAAGCAGTCACAGCAGTGGCTTGATCCTGGCACTTATGAAAGGAGCTCTTTGATAAGCCTCGGCCAGGAGCAACACAAGGGAAGCAATCAGAGGCACAAACCCAACTAGAGATGAGGCGTCTACTGTGTTTGCTTGTGCGTTTTGAGATGTTGTTTTGTTTCTTTGACCTGTTAAACTTTTCTCTTGGAAAAAAAATACAAATCCCTGAAAGTCTCTCTTTTCTTTTTTTTTTTTTACTCTTCCATGTTTTGTGGTTTTCCCTTGTGCACATCTGAAACACTTGAAAACACATTTGTTCTGTCTCCCCCTCTTTGTAACCAGGGAGAACAACAAAGTGAGGTGTTTGGATGTGGCTGACACAGTGCTACAGAAGTTGTGGTTTCCTGTTCTTATATCCGCTCACTTATTGTATTTCAGAAACGTTCTTTTTTTCTCCACAGTTCGATCAGCTGTGCTGAAGCTGAGTGGAATCTGAGCTCCTCTTTTAATAACAATGAAAACACAGTAGTCGAAAAAAATTATCTTTTAAAAACATTTTCGATGTGAAATAATATTTATAGAACTTCGAATTTAGAGATTTTGGTTCAGTTTCAGTTCAGTTTCTCTTTATAGTATCACTAGGGGACACTCGACTTGCAGCAAATCTCAATTAAACAACAACACACAACCAAAACATTCAACAAATAAATTAAAAGCTTTAAAGAGGGGTAATAATATATGTTAATAGTTCAGATTTAAAGTGTGGAATGAACATCCAACATTTAACGCCTTTTGGCTCATTGTTTTGGTTTGACTAAACTGTGTTCATCAGCTAGCTGGTGAATCTAATGGTGCAAAGGAGTGTAAAATGTCTTAAATTGATCAAGTGGCCAGAAACTCTGAGGACTCCAAATAAATGCAAATTTGTATCTGCAAATCAATTTTGTAACACAACCTCTGGCCAAAAACAAATCAGTTTAAAGCATTGAAATAGGAGTACCAAACAAAAAGTTACCTCCAAACAAGGACAATATATTCATGTATTTCAAATGTCCCTTCTATTTCCTTCTCTTTCTATTTCTGTCCCTGTGTACATGCGTGCGTCACATTATCACCCCAGTTCCACTCCCCATTGAGCGGTGCCACAACCAACCAGTGCAAAAAAAAAGGTTGAGATCGTGTATCTGGCTTCCCATCTGCCAACAATGCCAAACGTGTGTTCCCAGGAATGCATGACGCTTTAGGTGTCACGACTGAGAATCAAACCCCTGCGGTGGCCAGGGACTTTAACTTCATGCCACTGATGGGCCACCCTCACTTGAGAAGAAATCTGACATTCATAGGACAAAAAAAAGCAACTTATATATTCAAAATCTGTCTCTACCACATACAGTAATTCTGAGTTTCACAACATGTCACTACCATTGAAACACCAAAACTGTCACCGACACCTAAACTGTCACTGGCTCTCGTCGATTCGCTCCCTATATGCTCCAACAAATCAAGCAAAACAAACCAGCTCCACTGATATGAAGCTCAGCTGTCATGGCAGTTAACTCCCTCTCCCTTTTGCACCCCCTTCCCCTCCATGTTGCTCCCCCTTCTGCCTTTCTATTGCTCATCTCCCCATCTTTCTCATCTCTCTTTCATCGCTTCCACTCTCTGTTTGTCCTCTCTGGTGTGCATTGATCTCTGTAGTTCAGAGATTTAGAGATTTGGGGCACAGTGATCTCCCTGGCAGTTACAGCAGACAGGTGTGAAGAACAAACAATGGCCTCCTAAACAAACCCCAAAACCAATTTAGGGTTTGTGTGCTTCCTTAGGCAAACTCCATGGCTGTTATGAGGAATATAACAAAACAGGCAAATATGCATTGCAGGCACACCTGTTTTTTGGGTATTTCTCACAGACTCTACTCAGTGATAAATTAGACAACCAACTGGTGGTGCCATAAGTTTGCAACTGAAGTTTAATGATGATGTAGGGAGAGAAATGCAGCAAAAATAACTGGTGATATGTCAAGTGTAGCGGTGACAAATAGTCCGGCATCCTGCTCATTGATCCATCTCAATCCGTCACAGGAGCTCGGCCCAGCTCAGGCACAAACTGTCCTATCTGAGCCAGGAATGGGCAACCATGTGAAAGCCAAGAATCTGAGTTTTATTCCAACTAATAACTACGCCACCTGATTTCAATCATTTGCAGAAATGTAAATAAAGAAGTCAAAGTGGAGGATGAAAAACCTGAGGATATTGTGTTCACATAACATAAAATAAAAACTTCACCTTCAAAGCATTCACTTTCAAAATATATAATTATCTAATGAATACAGGCCCAGATACTTTTTTTTTTCAGGCACTACATATTGAAATGGATAATTTACATGAATGTGACCCTGAGCAGCACATCATTGGATTGTGTGTTACCAGCTGTATTGGCTTCAGTTTAGGTCTCAAAGCCAGCGATATCAGTGCAAATACGCCTCTGCTGTCTTTACCATTGACTCTGAGAAGCTGACATGAACACGTTTTTCCCAATCAACAGTTCATATTGACAATGACATACCATATTTTCTCCATCCAACTTGATTTATTCTTCCATTTTGAGCTCAGACTTGTATTAAGAGCAAAAAACACTGAAGACCAACCTCTCCGCAACACAACGCCTCACATGACGACTATGTTCGTTCGCCAAAGAGACTTTGTCATTTGCTTTCTTACTTTACCATTCATCACTCGAAGCGATGAAAATGTCAAATAAATGACATCACTGCTCCATATAGATTTTTTTTCTCCCAACCAGGACTCTTGATTTGATAAAAAAAACATGAAATCAATACCTAAAAAAAGACACCAATAAGGAATGGTGTCAGTGCTTTCAGGTGGAGAAACAGGGTTATTGACATGGGGAGAAAGGCAAAGAGGGGAATGAAATAACAGCAGAAGAGCGTCAATGTGTGTGGCTCTCAGTGGAAAGATAGATTGGTTCCTTTACCCTTAAAAAGTGGCCCCATGTGACGTGCCATTAAGATCATTTTGTAAAGTTCTCTCCTACATGTGTGACTGCAATGTTAAATTGATATTATGAAGTTCAAGTTGTTGGCTCAATAATTCCTTCTTGGCATTAACTTTCATAATTAGCACATTTTTTTTATCTAAGAAGCTGCTAGCATTTCCTGGCATAGCCGATTTAAGTGTTGTCTTCTGCATATATGCACGAATCTCTAGAAACCACCTCCAGGAAAAGAAAAAAAAGATTGTCTTTCCACAGCTCCATCTTTATTTTTAGAGTCTGGATGCTGATGAGAGAGAGGAGAAAGCAAAGGGAGTGAGAAACAGCATCAAAAGTGGGGAGAAGGAGGAGAGAGCAAGGGGAGAAGAACAAGGAGGAATGAAAGAGGGGGAGCAAGATGGTCCGGGGGGGTGCTGTTAGTTCCTTGGTGGTTTCAGGAGTAGTAGAAAGAAATGCAATGTGATGAGAGTCCTTCCTCTGAGAGAGTCGGGGAGAGAGAGAGAGAGAGAGAGAGAGAGAGAGAGAGAGAGAGAGAGAGAGAGAGAGAGAGAAGGGGATGTAACCACACCAACCTTCCACTCGATGGGGGAGCAAGGGGGAGGAGAGGGGGGGCTCTACTGCTACTGCCGTATAAAAAGCCAAGCCTGAGAATCCGGCACCACAAACTCACCACACATACACACTCACACACACACACACACACACACTCACACAGATCCAGTGGCTGCTCTGTATCTCTGACACTCACCCACTCTCATCGTTTTCTCTCTCTCTCTCTCTCTCACTGTCCCTCCCTCCCTCCTTCCCTCTGTCTCTCACTCCATTCCTCTGGGATCTGCATCCTTCTTGCTTCTTCTCAGATTGTGTTTGTAAGTGCGGGCTGAATGTCTCCCCGTGTATGCTTGGGTATCCCTGGGTCTTTTTTGCATGTGTGAGTGACTGCTTGCCAACTTTGGAGTGACTGGGCAGAGCAGTGAGAAGTGTATGTGGGTCTCTGTCTCACCCTCACACACTCTCCGGTCCTCTCGCAACTCTTCTCGGGATCTCCGGATCCCTTCCGACGGTGGCAGGCTCCCCACACAAAGCAGTCACCATTTCTGCCCCCGGGAGACCCACGCTGGCAGCGCAGCCCCTTCCCCGACTCAGCATCGGGAGGAAGACCCTGGTGGCGGCTGCTGTAGGGGTTATGCTGGTCCTGGTGCTGGTGGTCCTCATCCCCGTGCTCGTCAGCTCTGTGGGTACAGATGCCAGCCACTATGAGATGCTGGGCACCTGTCGGATGGTGTGCGACCCCTACCTGAACAAGGGGACGCCGGCAAGCAGCACCACCTCCACCGGGCTCCAGGCTGAGGCGGAGGCGCTGAGCGACAACAGCAACGTGCTTCCACCCTCCACCTTACTGCAGGGCCCACAGGGGAAGCCTGGCAGGCCGGGCAAGCCAGGACCACCCGGGCCACTGGGAGAACCGGGGCCCCCCGGACCTGCGGGGCCTCCTGGTGACAGAGGGGATCAGGGAAGGACTGGGATTTTGGGTCTGGGAGGGAATGGAGCTATCAGCACGGCCACCTACAGCACGGTGCCTCGGGTGGCCTTCTATGCGGGGCTAAAGAACCCCCACGAAGGCTACGAGATCCTCAAGTTTGACGATGTGGTCACCAACCTGGGCAACAACTATGATGGCATTTCTGGCAAATTCATCTGCAGCATACCGGGCACATACTTCTTTATCTACCATGTGCTGATGAGAGGAGGGGATGGCACCAGCATGTGGGCAGACCTCTGCAAGAATGGCCAGGTGAGTGCTTTGAAAAACTTTTCCTGAGTTTCCTTTCCTCAGTGTAAGAAAAGCCACTTTCTGCCCTGATCCTCATTCTCCTCCTATCCATTGCTTAAAAAACAACATAGTAAGAAAGTCATTTCTCAAACAGCCAGTATATAAAAAGTGACATTGTAAGGCAAGGGTGCGCATCTGCCGTGCGCCTCCAAAGCCCAGAGCGCACAGCTGTGGCACCCCGCGCGCCTGGAGATAAAGATGTGTTGACTGGTTGCAGCCGCGTCCCCTCTGCGCGTGATGCGACCTGACATTGCCGCGTCCCGCGAGCCGAAGGACGGTCACAGTTTGGGCTGAACATGGAGCGCGAGCCGATTTGTGTGCCTTTACACTGTAGCATTACGAAATTGTAGCCATTACGCGTAATTTACGGAGGATTTAACTGCAGTTTTTGCCGGAGTGTCGGTATTCACGGAGTTTTAGAGTGAGGAAGAAAAAGAATCGGCTGGAGTTGTTTAACGCGGTCGCATCCGTTTAATTTATGTTATCACGAGTCTACTTGTTTTGTGTATTGTAGGCTACTCCTGCTAATACTGTAATTATAGTTATTATTGAAGTTGAGCATTTATTTTTATCATTATAGGCTACATTTATTTTTAATTGTATAAAAGACTAGGCCTATGTGTGTACAAAACAAATACATATCTTCCGTTTTTTTTTTACAACAATCATCTCCGATAACCTTTAGACCAGGTGTTTGGTTGCTTGTCTGCACTAAGTTGAGGGAGAAATAGAAATTTCGCTCCGAATGTTTGGACCATACCTGTCTGTGAAGCACTCCGGATTGTGCTGTCTGTCCACCGCTGCCCACATCTGTCTTCGCAGTCGTGTTAAATGCATTAGGACGTTGACATGATCTATTCACGGCTTCTCTGATGCATCTTTTTAATAGGGCTCTAATTTTATTGTGCGCCCCGGAGGGTTTTCTCAGGTTGGTTAATGTGTGTCGTTCCGATCAGCCGTCACATCTCTTATCTTCAAAGTGGCTCCGAAATGTTTGCCTGTAAAATAAAAATAAATAAAAAAAGATATGGATGTTACGCTGCAGATAATGTTTGATTTGTTTGCTAAAACTGTGGCTCTATCATATTGCCTAGTTGGTTGCCAGTATTATGACTGACGTGAAAAACGATAAAGATAAATAAAAATAAGTAATAGGTCGTTGAAAAAGGCTTTATGATGCATTCAAATGTTCACATTTGCAAAACTAATATCAGTGACAACGGAACAATGCAAAACTTTACCAATACTTAAAGTCTGTCTTTATCATAAGGAATCCTGAGAAAGGAGATATTTATGTGTAGCCTGCATTGTATTTCACACTTCTTTATTTTAACTGCATGCATACTTTAAGATATATTTGTCCTCAAAGTCAATTGTATAGCAACATGGTATTGAAATTGTATTGACATTTTTCTAACTGTACATGAGAAAACACTTACCACAGTTCAAAGGAAATTAATAATTTGTAGTCCATTTCATGAACAGTTGAGGTTTCTTCTTCGCCCTGCATTGAGAAGAGGTGATAAAGTTCAAATATACCACATCTCATCCTCCTACTGTCACTTCACATCATGTCCCAGCAGCCTCTCTGCCATGGTTCAACTCTGCTGCTATGAAACAATTAGAATTTCATATGGTTTTAATGTTTTGCCAAATTGAATATAAAAGAAAATCATGTAGATTAATAAGCACAAAGTTAATTAAAGCAGAAGGCATTCGGGGCCTCACATTTTAAGAACTGTGCAGTAAAAGTATATATGTGCAGCATGGAGATAAAATAACAGCTGGACTCTGTATGCTGAACCTGCAGTCTCACTGAGGCTGCCAGAGGTTAATTTCTTTATCCTCGCCAAGTTCACACCCAGCACGAAAAAGAGTTACAGCAATCTCCTTCTATATTTAATGTCTCACTCAACAGTAATGTTTATGGGTGGGCGTAAAAACATTGATATATAATAGGGGAAGAAGAACATATGTTCCTATAAAACGCCTTCTGTTCCCGCTTCATTGTGCTCCCAAGAGGAGGTTGCTGGGGTACTTAAGTTAGACGCACGCAGTGTTCTTCTCCAGAGACCCGCGTAATGTTTATAAAGTGTTAACTGAGTCCCTGTCTTCCTCCTTTGTCCTACGCAGAGTTGGTATAAACACACCGTCTTCTTGTTGTGGTGTTTATTAGGGTTGTGTGTTTGGCTGATGGAGAAGGCCCCGGAGCCTTCGTCTGTGTAAATGCTTATAAATGTTGGGCCAACTTATGCTTCATCATTGATGAAGTGCTGAGAGTCAAACTGAAGCCACACTGGTGCTTTCCTCAGCTCATTAAGGCTGCAAAAAGCTACACTGTGAGTTGGGACAAGGGAGGTCAGGGAATTGCAGACTATACTAGTATTTTATCATCTTTTGGCTTTAGTGAGCAGCGTGTTTCCAAGCCCTGCAGTGCTGTTTCACTCCAGCATGTGCTCCTCCCACTCCAGGGGTTCTTACAAGCTGTGTCTACCATCGGCATCCTCGGGTTACTTTATTTATTTCACTCTTCTTCCGGTTCCAGAGTTCAACACAAGAATCCCAACACAAGTCGTTGCAACTTTTGACACTTTTCAAGTTAAACCAAAAAGTTAGCTTCCTGAAACAAATAAGAAATCTATTTCCAGCACAGCACACTTTATCCGCTTTCCAAGCCCCACACACTCTTTTGGCTTCTTTTCTCGCTTGTTCTCTTACACGCCTGCCAACTATCCCAACCATTCCTAAACTCTCTCCAGTAAATCAATGCTATAACCTGCCTTGGACACATCCTAAGAGACACAGCAGAGACAATGAAGACAAATGCAGTGGATGCAGAAGACAGAGAAGACATAGTTATGGTGCTATTGTGTCACAGAGTCTATTTAATTGTAATTAAAAAGCTTGAACCAGATCCAGAATGTGTTTGCGCTTCTCCTCTCCATTCCCTTCTTAATATTGTTATTAATCCGCAAAACCGTTTCAGAGTTAATTAAAAGCAATGACTTCAGCGTCAGTCTCTCAAGAGGACCATAGTGAATAATCACTCTGTCTCCTCCTTTAATAAGCTTCAACGTCCTTCGTGCACATGGCTCTTCCTCAGCAATTACCGCTGCAGTCTCCTCCTCACATACACACACATTGACACATGCGCACGCTTGTAACACCCCCCCCCCCCCCCCCTTTTTCCGCCCCGCCCTCCTAACCCACTGCCTCAACCCACCCCGACTGTGCACTGCCCTCCATCTCTCCTCTATGTCAGGTTTACAGGAGCTCACTTTTCCGAAGGAGCAGAAAGTTTTAGTCCTGAAAGGAGAACTTTTCTTTTAAAGCAGGATTCATATTTTGGTATTGCCGAATTGATTTGCTTACACACAATGCCATCAATATTCTTCATTTTCTCTCAAGTGATGCATTGCACTGTAACAGAATAAGTTAGTGTGCCATCCATTTCTTGGATATTGTGGAGAGAGGTTCCTTTTACCTTTTAAGTTTTGCTTGAGTTCAGTCACGTGTCATTTTCCTCTAACACCATTCCCCACAGTCCGTCATAGGCACCTCTTCAGGTCAGGTATGCATACACACAAGACTGTTTACTCTTTTGCTGTGTATTCAGGTGAAACCCACGCATTGTGTTTAGCATGTGGTTTCAATCCCGACATTAAACATAGGAGCTGAGCCGTCTGCATGCAGGTCTGCTCTGTTTGATCAGGTTATACGCTCAAAGGAAAGGTGTAAATAACCAAATCAGATTTCACGAGGGGCTCGGGTCATTATTGGTTTTTATTTTCAGTGAAATAATTTAGGAAAAATGTGATTGCAAGCATTAAACACACAGGCATCTAAACACACATACAGCAATACTTAGACTTGATTGATTTTAACATTCTGGTATGGTTCAGACCTGCTATTCTTCATCGTGGTCTGACTCCAGTACTGAGAGGCCTCTGTGTGTCTGCCCGCTGTAACAGAGAGACTCTGTCTGAAATAGACAGACAGGGTTTGAGAGTCCCTCAGCCTCTTTGCCTGCGGTATTGATCCCCTTATGTGTATGTGTGCCTTCGTGTGCGTGCATGTAAGCGTCACTTTCCTTCTTCTGACAGACCCATTTCTTTCTGTGTGATGTATACCGTGGCATATCTTTTATAATCAGCCAGAGAGGTAGTGGAGGCGGACCTTTGGCCTTGATCTGCTGTGTAATTGGACATTGGATTTGACACTCCGCCGAGTGGAACATTAGAGCTGGTCTAATTAGGTGCGAGGGCTATCAAATGAAGATTGGCCCATGTTGTTAGGAAATACCACACAGATTGGAAATGTCAAGATGACATCGGGCTGTCATCCGCAAGCAACGGGAAGGAAATCTATCATTTATTGGTGAAGTTTCAAAACTTGCTCGAATACTGCCCACCACTTGTCTGTAATAACTATATTACTTTAAACCATTTTGACACTAAGATGGCCATATAGAAAGTAATTATTGCTCACAATCCACACACTGGCATTAGGAAGCTCATGAAATACTGCGACTGAAAACATACAGTCTAAAATAGTCTATGGATCGTCTCCTGTGGCTGGCTGACTCAAGGATGCTATAGTGTTGACTCACAAGACTTCTCCATTATAATGAGGGCCGTATGGGAGACAGACAAGTGCTCCTGGCCCTCTTATGCAAACATCCCTCTCTCCATCTCTCCCTACGCCCCTGACATTTAGCCGTCCCCCGAATTCAGTCTTCAGTGATACCCACAATTATCCTCTCCCTCTTCACGGGAAAGCAGCAAGTCAATGGCTTTAAATGACTCACACTTTCCTTCATAAATCAATGTGTTTAACACCTCCTGCCCCCCCCTCATGAAATGAATATGGGCAGAAGACATCAACGCAGTAAGAGAAGATGAATCGGCTACTGTATGGAGTAGCATGTCAAGGAAAAGCCTACAGTTTGCCTCTCATCCAAC